TGGTCAGTGCTCCTTACTTAGGGGGTGGCGAGTCTGTTCTTAATTAACGCTCGCCTCTTGTACTTCAACCCCCTCGCCACCACTCGGCGTAATGAGGGTCTTTCCATGTGTTAGTTGCCCAAGGAGCTTTATACATAGTGGATAACCGGAAACGCGTGTGGGTGACCTAGATGAGACGCGCCCCGTCTAGCTAATTCTTTTCTTCCGCGCTGACCACTAAAGTAAGTAGATGGCTGTGTACCACTCTCGCACATATAAGCTTCCTCTTTCTCCTTATATATATATTTACACACTCACACACACATATTGGAAGAAAAGTGCTAGATTTTTATGTGTCTGTTTGTCTCGGTGCGAGAGGGTTTAAGTATCCCACAATGAAATTGTCAATGTGTTCGTTTTCAGTTGCGTGTGTATTACTTACAACTTCTTCTTCATCTACTTCTTTTTTCTCCATTTGTTTCTTAATACTTATCGAGAATTTTGTTTTTGGAAAAAATTTTTCAATTGTCGTGAAGAGAATTTCAAGGGAATTCTTTTCGAAGAAATTCTATTCAGGGCTCGAACTAGGTCCGTAAATCCTGTAAAAGTCCGTAACTTTGCTTAAAGTCCGTAAAAGTCCGATTTTTTGAAAAAAGGCCAGTAAAGTCCGTAATTTAATTGAAAAAGGTCCGTAAAGTCCGTAAATTGTACGATATAATTTGGATAATTTTAGAGAAATTTTAAATGATGGTAGGAATTCAATTATTTTGAAAATTAATAAAATTCTTCGCAAAAAATTCAATTATGTTCAAAATTTTTTTTTTAATTTTCATAAAAATTTCGATTATTGTTAGAAATATTTAAATTCTTCCCAAAAATTTAATTATTTCAAAAATTAAAAAAAAATTCTCGTCAAAATTTAAATTATCTTTAGAAATATTTAAATTCTTCTCCGAAATTCAATTATTTCAAAAATTTTAATAAAATTCTTGTCAAAATTTCAATTATTTTCATAAAATTTCCTCAATTCAATGATTTTTAATAGAAATATTTACTATTCTAATAAAATTTTCCAAAAGAATTCAATTATTTTAAAAAAAATTTAATAAAATTCTACACAAACCTTTCATTATTTTCAAAAAATAATAAAAATTTCACAGGAATTCAATTATTTATAAATTTTTTTTAATAGCTTCGTAATAACTCGATTATTTTCATAAATAATATAAAATTTTTACAGGGATTCAATTATTTTGGTAAATAATAAAATTTTTATTAGGAATTCAATTATTTTTATGAATAATAAAACCCATTGCAGAATTTCAATTATTTTTAATACAATTTTAATCGAATTCCTCGAAAAAATATAATTGTTCTTACAAATTTTATTAAAATTCGTCAAAAGAACTCAATTATTTAAAAATTTATTGATACAATTCTTTATGAGAATTCAATTTTAAGAAACATGCAATTATTCAATAAATTGTTTTTTTTTCATGTAAATAATTGAATGCTAGTAGAATTTTTTCATAAAAATTAATTTAAAAATGGATTTCAGTTTAAATTTAAGATTATAATTGAATATTAAAAGCATTAGAGCGTCAATTTTGAGAAATAATTGATTTTTGAAAAGGATTCAAATTAAAATCTTTGAAAATCTGAATTTTTCATATTGTTAATTAATAATTCTGTGGAATTAATTTTTTTTAAAAAGTTTATTAGAGAATTTCTTTTATATTATTTGAAGTTTTTATTTTATAATTTATATTTAATTGAAGAATTTACAAATAATTAAAATTTCGTAAAATTCAATATTGTGAAGAAATGGATTTGAAAATTGTCAAAGAACTTTTTCGAAAATTATTAAGAATAATTGATAATTGATTTTAATAAGAAGAATTTTAATTAAAAATTCGTGAAAATAATAATTGAATTAATAATGATTTTATCACTTAGTCTACTTTTATTATCGAGTTCGAGTTTTCCAAAAGAATTCAATTATTCAAAAAAAAAAAAAAAAAAAAATAATAAAATTCTATGCAAATATTTAACTATTTTCATAAACAATACAAATTTCCCAGGAATTCAATTATTTATAAATTTTTTGCTAATACCTTCGTAATAACTCGCTTAGTTTCATAACTAATGAATAAAAATCTTGATAATTATCAAAATTTTTTTTAGAAAAATTCAATTATTATTATATCATAAAGAACAAAGTTCTTAACAAGAATTCAATTATTTTTAAAAATAACAAAATTTTTATCCGGAATTCAATAATTTTTAAAAATTACCATCAAATTCTTTGCAAAAATTTTATTATTTTCAAATCTTTTTAATAAAGTTCTTGACAAAAATTCAATTATCTTTATAAATAACAAAATTCTTCGTAAGAATTCAATTATATTTTCATAAAGAACAAAATTCTTAGTAGGTATTCAATTATTTAAAATTTTTTTTACAAAATTCTTGTCAAGAATACAATTATTTTTAAAAATTGTAATACAATTATAGCTTGAATTTTTAGCAATAATTGAATGTTTTTTAAAAATTATTTGAATTTTTTATTTTCTACGGTATATATTTAATTGAAATATTGCCGAATAATCGAAATTTCACGTTAAATTGTTTTTTAAAGAAATGGATTTGAAAATTCTCAAAAAGAATTTTTTTTGAAAATTATTAAAATTAATTGATTTAGAGAAGAATTTTAGTTAAAAATGGTACAAAATAATAATCGATCCGTAATTTTTAATTTTTGGTTCGTAAAGTCCATATTTTTAAATAGTTTCTCTGGTTCAAGCCCTGATAATACTGTCACCAAGTGTTGCATCGCAACACTTTTGATTTGTTTTTTGTCTCAATTTGAGAATTTTATTTAATTCCTTTCTCAAAATTAGCAATTAATGCGACAATTTTCAATTTTAATAATTATTTATTCCTAACTGTATATAAGTTAATTTGTGGTTATTATTTGGAGAAAATTTTTGCACGAAGGAAGTGGTGATAATACACATGTAAGGGGGTTGAGGGGTGGGAGGAGGAGGGATGGAACCGTCTCATTCTTCTGTGACATCCTGGTGGTCACAGCGGACTCGAAAGCGCGGATAACAGCAATTAACCCACCCGTTAATAGAGACGATTGTGATTAATTATCGGATTTAATGACCGGCTACACTTGTAAATATAGCCGGACCATGATATGGTGCACCGTAAAAATTAGAGACCATGATTCCTACTCCTACTTGTGTCCTCCTCCTTCTTCTTCAACAGTGTGCGATTGCGACCACAGTGAAACGGCTCCTGTCACACTCGGCTGATTTTTTCAACCAGCAATCATTTGGGCTGTGGGACCGTTCGCAAAGAATATATCGCAAACCTCTTTCAAGGATATTATGTATCTTCGAGGTTAATGCTAAACGTTTTTTTATTTTCATTAATATGATTTTTATTTTCTTTAATATAATTTTTTATTTTCTTTAGTAAGATCTTTAGTTTTTTTTAATGTAATTTTTATTTTCTTTGGATATTCTATTCATTAGTAAGATTTTTACTTTTGTTAATAGTTAGTTTTTTATTTTCTATGATAAGTTTCTTATTTTTCTTGATAAATATGCTGAGATGTATATCATATTTAGTAAAGTTTCAAGTTAACGGCAAAATTTGTTCTTCTCTGATAGTTGGCTGTTTAGTTTGAGTTTTAGGATCTTTGGCATAAAAAATATTGCAAATTACAAGTAAATTAAAAATTGAAAGCTATTTGCATTAATAATTAAACTCTCTAGATTCAATGACTGATTAAAATTAATTACATGGAATTACGAATATTTTGAAATCCAATATGGAGATGCTAGTCTCCACCTGAGAACGCCAAGGTCATCGCTAGATGGCAGTGTGGTTGACAAAACCAGATCCAACGCCATCTAGTGACGATCTTGGCGTTCTCAAGTGGAGAACTCTGGGGTTTCTAGGGTCGCTCATCGCAAATTTGACATCAGACTTTTAATATTCAAAATGGAGGATCCAATATGGCGAACAAGTTCTGCAAATCTTTATTAATTTAATAAATATTTTAATGTTTTTTAAAATTAATTTTTAATTCAAACTTGTATCACAGAGTTTTTTTTTAGTGTTTTTTTTAACAAAAATCTAACATTAGATTTTAAAAAATCCAAAAAGCGAATCCAATATGGCGGATAATGAGTGAAATGAATACGTAAATTTCAGCTTTAACTTTGCAGCGGTTTCTTTTTACTTATACTATGAGGAAAGAAACTTTTTCCTTCCCTTTTTTTCTGAGTTTTGTCAATGTCGATAAATGGAATTCCTTGAGGGGTGATTCTTGGTATAGGTTGCGTGAGCTTGAAATTCCACGTCTTATATTGATTCCGAAAAATTTTAAATTGTTCCATGAAAGTTGCCTCTTAATTAATTTCAAACAGAAAATAAATTATTTATTTGCAATTTCATTAGATTAAATTAGAAATTAGATCAATTATAAGAGTGGATTAAATGAGGAAAGTGTAATTGAGAGTTGATTAATTGACATTGGATTAATTAAGGGTTTGATTAATTATTACTGTGTCAATTAAGAGTGTAGAGTAATTTTTATAATAAATCAATTAGAAGGGGGTTAATTAATAATTAAATTAATTACGTGAGTGGAATAATAAATATTGGATCGATTAATATTGGATTAATTGGGAGTAGATGGAGAGTGGATTAATTGAATAAAAAGTTGAAGAAAAAATTGTTTAATAATAAAGAATAAATAAATTAATTATAAATGAAGAATAAATTAATTAAAAATGAAGAGATTAACATTTTTAAAAAATTGTAAAAAATTAAAAAAATCTTTTTTTAACAATAGAAAATTATGAGTTGAAAATTAGAGAATAAAATTCAGATACTAATTAAAACTAATAATTAAGAGACGTAATAGTAGTAAATTAAACCTGAAGAAATTTTAAATTAAAATTGTGTTAAGTTCGGTATATTAATAAAAATTTTTATATTTACAGAAGATAGTCAACAAATTGTCAACTTCGATTATATCAATTCTCAGTTGAGGGTCACATTTACACCAGCAACGAGTGAGTTTTTAAAAACAATAACTTTATTATGCCCTTGAAAGAAAAAATACGTCTTCTTGTCAACACATTTTTTTGGAATTTAGAAAAAAACAAATTACAAAATTTTTATTTAAAAACTTAAAAATAATTTTAAAATCATTTTATTTACTCAATTATTTGTTTATTTTAAATATATTTAAATTAAATTATTTTATTTTATTCAATTTAATTATTTAATTTCTTTAAATTAAATTATTTTATTACTTTAAAATCAATTATTTTGAAAAGTAATTCGAAAAGTAGTTTACAAAAATTCACCTACTTGAAAACTAAAATTTCAAAATTTGCCTGCAATTCGAGTTTATATGAAATTAATTTTTTAATTTAAGGAAAGACAACTTTTTTTACTATTCTTAAAGTTTTTCTAAATAAAAAAAATATGTTGTACAAAAGATAAATATTATTTTTAAGTTGCAAAAAAATTTTTTACTCTTTTGGCTATTCTGCTTATTGATGAAATTCTGTATTTTTCCAAGCTGCGAAAATTATGTTTAGAATAAGAAATAAGATAATATTGTTGAAAAATTAATTAGCAATTATTTAGCAAAGTAGAAAAATTTACTGCTAAAATAATTAAAATTAAAAAAAAAATGCTTCGAATTTCCGAACATTTCGGATATTACAATGAAGACTATTACTATACTATATAGTAAAAATTACTTTATTAATTTTTTTTTTCGAATAATAAATACTATATTTTCTAAATTTAAATTAGTAAAAATTTTTACTAATTTGAATTACCGACTGACTTTTTACTCTTGAATTAGTAAATTTTACTAATAAATTAGTAGCAGTTACTATTTATTAGTAAAATTTACTAAATAATTAGTAGCAGTTACTATTTATTAGTAAAATTTACTAATTGAAAAGTAAAAAGTCAGTCGTTATTTTAATTAGTAAATATTTTTACTAATTCAAATTTAGAGAGAAGTATTTTTTTAATCGAACTGACTGAAATATATAGTTAAAGTTTACTCTAAACGTACGAAGTCGTTTTTAATTTGAAATATTTTCTATGATGAACAAAGTATAATACGCTTGATCCATAAAGTAAATCCTTGATTGTATACAAGGACTTTAGGGATTTTCACTCTAGTGATAATCGTCTTCACAGAAATATTTGATTTCTTCCCTCAAAGTGAAACAGCAGTGCTTTCTATATACACAAGTACATAGAGGGACAGAGAAAAAAAAGGGGGGGGAGGGGGGTTCTTTTTGACTAACGAATTTACGAGTGCGTGCAACCCCAAAGACGGATGCGTCGCGTCGAGAAATGAACAGAAAGGCGCGAGAACGGTTAAAACAAGTCGACTCGTCCAAAGTTCCGAGTGGTTCGTTTTCTTTTTTTATTTTTCTTCTTTTTCATTGAGTCTCTCTCATCGAAGTATCGATTGGGTTCGTATAATAATTACCTCTACGGCATTAGGGGGTTGCTACCCCCGAAATTTTGACGACCCCCTCCCCCCCTACTCCCGCCACATTGGGTGCTCGATCGCTCTCTCTCTGTCTTCTTCTATCCCTCTATATTAGACTAGAATATCGTCTGACAGGGGAATATAGAGGGTACTAACAGCTGCCTCATCGCTCGTTCGCACAAACCATGATTTCGTTCGCCGGCCAATTAATTATTCAGACGAATTTAAAAAAAAAATTTCGGGAATTACTTTTCCTTGGTTCTTGTGGACTCTTCTTTTATTTTTGTTGATTTTTTCGGTTGGAGAGTATTTTTAATTTTTGCGCTAATTTCTGATGATATTTTTGACGAAAATTTTATTTGTGGGAGAGAAAATAAAATCTTTTTGAATAATATAATAATTTTAGTGTTATTTATTATAATTCTAATGTTAATTATCATAATAATTATAATGATAATAATTATGTTAATTTAATGTTAATTATTATAATAACTACTGTATAAATTATTATACTAATTATAATGTTAATTTTTGTAAACACTATGATGTTGGTTATTATAAGAATCGTAATGTTCATTATTGTAGTAATTTTAATATGAATTATAATTATTGTAATTTTAATTACTACAGTAATTAATTAATTAACTAAATTAATTTGAATGTTCTTTCAATCTTTCATTCACTTTTTCTGTCCCTCACACTCTGAAGTTGTCTTTTATTTATACTTTTGTTTTTTGTTATCTTTAGATAGATTGTATATTATATTATTACTAGAAAATTTTACGCGCGGAACATGATATTCAATTTATTATTGTTATGCAAATTACAAATATTTTTAATCTTCAAATATAAATTTTTAAAATAATTTCATAATCAAAATTTAAAAAATTCACTTATTAAGTACAAAATTAATTATTACTGTTTATATTTTCTAAAATTCCAATTATTTTTACAAATAGTAAAATTTTTCACAAGAATTAAATTATTTTTAATCAAATTTTAATAAAATTACACATGAAATAATTTAATTATTTTTCAATTATTTTCAAAAAATAATTAAATTCTTGTGATGAATTCAATTATTTTTAATATACATAACTTTAATCAAATTCTTTACAGAAATTCCATTATTTTCGAAACAACTTTAATTGAATTTCTCGAAAAAATTTCATTTTTTTAAAAATATTTCTATAAAATTATTCATAACAATTTAATTATTTCTCAAAAATTTTTTAAAATTCTCGCGAAACATTTTAATTATTTTTATAAATAGTAAAATCCTTCTAAACAATATTCAATTATTTTTTTCAATAGAAAAAAAAAAAAATCTTTACAAAAATCCAATGATTTTTAAAACAATTTTAATTGAATTCCTCGCATGAATTCAAATATTTTTAAATATTTCCATAAATTTCAATTATGTCCAAAAGTTTTAATAAATTCTTCGAAACAATTTTTATAAATAGTAAAATTCTCCGCAAGAATTTAATTATTTTTAATTCATTTTTAATAAAATTCTTCTTCATAAAATTCAAATGATTTCAAAATTTTCAATGAAAATTATTAAAGAAATTCCATTAGTTTAAAAAAAAATTTAAAGAAATTCTTCAAAAGCATTTAATTAGAATTTTAAAAAATGTTAATAAAATTCTTTGCGAGAATTCAGTTATTTTCCTAAATAATAAAATTCTTTGAAGGAATTCTATTATCATCAAATTTTGTGATAAAATTCTTTGCAAAAATTTGATGATTTTCAATATTATTTTCTAGAATTTTAAATTATTTTTTATGAAAATAATTGAATTCCTTAAGAAAATTTTATTATTTATAAAAATAATTGAATCCTTGTGAAATTTTTATTATTTATGAAAATAATGAAATGTTTGCATACAATTTTATTAAATTTTTTTTTAAATATTTGAATTCTTTTTGGGAAATTTTATTAAAATAGTAGATATTGAAAATCATTGAAATTAGAAAAAATTTTAATTAATAATTTAATAAAAGATAAATAATTATACATTGATAATATTGATTGATTTAATTGTTGATTACATTTTAACTTTGATTTCAGCATTCGCTGAATATTTTTTCGAAAATAGAAATTTTAATTTCGATGATAAATATTTACGATGGTATGTTTAAGATTCTAATTTGACTTGAGGGATTTATGTAGTCTTTGGATTAATTAAAAAAATTCGATATATAAAAGATTCTTAGGCTTAATTTTAACTTTGACCTAAACTCCCCTATTTTGCAAACGGTTTGGAATATGTGGGCCACTTGTTCCCCTCTGGACGAGAAATTAACGTGGCATTGAGTCGATAGTCGGTGGCTTTGTATGTCACCATGGATTGAATGGAAAGACGAAAGTAATAGCAAGTAAATTCTATTAGATTTTCTTTTCAAGCAAATTGAATTTTTCCCATCTTAATTGGAAAAATTGAACAAGTAATTTCTTGTTCTCTTTGTTTACACTTGAGTTAATTTTCTAGATGTTTACTGCGGTCTCAAATAACTATTATAGTTTTTTTTCTCCTTTTTTTTTTACAAAAATTTGTAAACTCTCTTGACGTCTTGAGAAAATTAGTTTTTGCCAGTTGATTCTTTTTATCTGCTCTCGAATTACGTCATCTCGTGCGTCAAAAGAATTCATTTGTTTAATTTTTCTTTTCAGCTCTTATATATATTGTTAATTTTTTAATTTTTTTTTTTTTTGTTTTATTAATTTATTTTAATGATGATGAATTAACTAGAGAGAAAAATGTTTTGTTGGTGTTATTTTTGTAATTTGGAAGGGGCAGGTGGGAGTTCGTTATAAATTAATAAAGTGAGAATTAAGTACTTTAAAAAAATATTATTTTGTTTTTATTATTTGTTTATTCGAATAATATATTTTTTGTTCTTTAATGAAAAAATTTTAAATTGTGTTAGGATTGGTAGTAATTTTATAAATTTTGTTTATAAACCATATTGCTGTAGAAATGAGAGATCAGATGAATCTCATTTTCGAATGAATAGAGAATATTGTATAAAAGTGTTTTTGAGAAAATGTTGCAAAGATTTGTTACAGAGGAGAGAGAGAGAGATATATCCTTTGAATCGAAGGCCAATAATCGTTGTCGATGACATTTGAGAATGGCCGCAAGATTTCTAAGATAATCGTGTATATATTCCCCTTTTTAAAATTAGCCTCTCGGCCCCGGAGAATATCGCGGGTGTATTAGAATTCTGCGCGCCGGGTAATGCGAACAATCTCTCTCTTTCTCTCTATTACTCTCACTTATAGTCTCACTCGCTTTCTTTCTCTTGCGCTCTAACGAATATTGCAGTGTTAGTGCCGTGTGTTTTGCGTGGCTCTCTTTTTTGATGGTGAGTGTAGAGTGGGTGGCTGTCGGGTATTTCTGTATCTAATTATAATCCTTGGTGAGGGAGCGAGGCAATCGCCTAAAATTAGAGCATATAGTCTAACCGGCACGCCACGCTATTTTATATATTCTGCGGTAGATCGCCCCCACCCCCCCTCTCTCTCTCTTTTCTTCCTCC